CGGTAGAATTCTAGTTCACAACTAGTAGCTTTCCCTGCAGGGTAATAACTTGCTTTCTCCACTACAGTCCTTAGACCACAGCTGGGCAGCGTCTGCCCGGCGGGCGACTGCGCGGCATATTCGCGTATACATACACGCTCTGCTTCCCTGCAGGGAAAGCTACTAGTTGTGAACTAGAATTCTACCAGTTTGCGTTTGAGCCCAACTAGTTCACGTTCTATCCTTTTTCAATGTTAGCGACTGGTATTTTTAACATTGCGATGTCCTACGAGATGTCAATTGTCAGGCTATGCATCAGCATCTTCTAGTAGAAATACTAGTAGCATCATACCAGTTGATGAGACAGTCTGCCAATTCATGCCCCGTGAAAAGCATAAGTGTGCCTTTTTGCTCGCAACGCTGCAGCAGTCACAATGGCCGACAGAGCAAACCACTCGCGTGGTAAGCCTGAGGTCCCAGGTTTAAATCCTGGCGTAGGGAAAATTTTTTTATTTTCTATTTTTTATTTAATTTTTATTTTTCATAAATTTATTTTTTTGTTTAGGCTGTTTATTGTAATTTTTAAATTTAATAAAAAAAATATTTTTGTTTAATTTTTTTGTTTTTATATCACAAAGCATTTCTTCCTAAATGTTTTTTGCAATGCAATTAGATTTTCAAATTTGTTACTTATTTATAAATTGAATAAATTATTTTTACTTACATTTATTTAACTTTAAAAATCTTAACCACCTCCAAGCGGCCTCGAACCTGCGATTTCAGAACCAGAACCAGTAGTCTTCACGTGACGCCACAGCCGACATTTGTAAGAAAAGCAATTAATTGCGTTTTATTTTTGGCTTTGGCAATTCAAAGGCAGATGTCGCTGATCGCCTAAGTTCTTCGAAATTGTCGAACTGGTAGGCACATAATAGTTAATGAACTAGTATTTTTTCTAACTGGTTTGGCTTTTCACTGCAGGGTCATTCAACCGCACGACTTGTGCGCACGCACACAGTGACATTGATTGCACGCACACTACAAAAATGCTCTGCCGAAGCTGCCCACCTCTGCTTTAGACTAACAGCCTAATTCTGTGCACTTGATAAATTCACCATCTTGTTTATTTATCAATATTGACAATTTATCAAGTGTTTCGTATTCTATGTCAAAAATAAAAAGCTTTTTTCTTGATAAATTGTCAAGATGTCAAATGCCTTTGACAAATTAACAAATTTTTGAACGATTCAAATTGAAATTTTAAAGCTGCTTCAAACATTTCAAAATTGTGTTAACTAATTAGTAAAAATGGAAGAAGAAATGCTTCTTTTACTATTATTGTGGGAAGAAGAGGAACATGAACAAAATAGAGACCGCTCGCGTTATTTAAGGTCCTTGAGGGATGCCAGTGATCCATTTTCCTTGAGTGAGAACGTGTTCATGCAACATTTTCGTTTGACCCGCCAATTGTGCCGGAGTCTTATTAATGATTTGGAACCGCATGATGACCAAAATACCTCATTGCCTCTTACTGTACGCGTCTTGGCAGTATTAAACTTTTTTGGCAACGGATCGTATCAGAAATGCGTGGGAAATAATTGCAATTTGCCAATGAGCCAGTCGTCCTTTTCAAGAAGTTTGCGGGCTGTGACAAAGCTCATTACAAGGGTTAAAGGCGGAGAAATTAAGTTTCCCAGTTCGATTGAGGAAGAAACCATAATTAAAACAGGGTATTAAAAGCGAATTAACTTTTATAGAAAAACAGTGTCATCTGAAATCTTGTGTTTTATCAGATTTTTTCGAAAGTTTGGAATAAAAAGCACAGTAGGAGCAATTGACTGCACCCACATCGCTATTGTTGCTCCGCCGTCTAACAATGTAGAACGCCCGCTTAATTTGTATTTAAACAGAAAGGGGTTCTACAGCATTAATGTCGAAGCGGTAAGTTACAATTTCTTTGACAAATACAATTTATATGAGTTTTGTTTCGTAGGTATGCGATCATCGTTTGTGCTTTACATTCCTAAACACAAAATTTCCTGGGGCGACGCATGATTCTGGGATATGGGCAACGTCTGACCTACGGGAGCAACTAATACGTCAGCATACCAGGACTACTGTTCACCAAAGAGAATCTTGGCTTATTGGTGATCAAGGCTACCCATTGGAGCCATGGCTTCTTACGCCAGTAGGAACTCCAAATAGCCATAAAGAAGTCAAATACAACAAATTGCATGCGTCTGCTAGGAACAGCATAGAACGAGCATTCGGAGTTTTAAAGTCCCGCTTTAGATGTTTGCTAAAGCACCGAGTGCTTCATTATTGCCACGAAACAACATCACTCATTGTCGCGAGTTGTGTTATCCTTCACAACATAATAACAAAAGCGGGCATTGAAGCGATGGAGGTGGATAACGATGTCGTAGAATATAACGATTCGGCAATGAATTCCCTTGATTTCTCGCAGTATACCCGCGAAGGAGAGAGAACAAGATCCAGATATATTTCAACACTATAATCAAATTCTTAATGCTGAAAAAATTTAAAAAAAATCTTGACTTTTTCACTTTGAACAAAAGTACTTTATTACACTCAAATTAAATGGGTTACGAACTACGTTTACAGTTCAAGATTATAGTGAAATCACATTACATTTTGTTTAAGTTATTATATTATCATTCTAAAGTACATACAGTGAACCAAATATAAACTGGGACGCGACATTTTAGCAAGTTTTAATTATTTTTCTTAAGTTTATTTAATGTTTAATATTTTTGTTGAAAGTATTACTTAAAAAACATATAAATCCAAATTTCAGACTTTGTGCAAAAATTATGAAAATTCTGCCAAATTTCACCAAAAATTTCTAACTTTTTAATCAGCACATTTAAAAAAAATATGCAGCTTTGTAGTCCATTAAAATTGAGTTTAATAAGGTGCAAATTGGAAGTAACTACGACTTGCCGTTGATATTTGACAATTTTGTATGTTGACAGTGCTCCGCATTTTTCTTCCATATTAAAAAATGTTCGAAGAAATTTCTATGGAAAAAAATGCGTGACACCGTCAACAAAAAAAAATTACAAAAAATCAAACCTAAGTCCTAGCTACTTCAAATTTGACCTTATTTACTCAAATTTAATGGACCCCAAAGCTACATTTTTTCTAAAGATGCTGATAAAAAGTTAGAAATTTTGGTGAAATTTTGCAAACTTTCATTATTTTTGTACACAGTCGGAAATTTGGATTTATATGGTTTTTGTTAAGTAATCAGCTATACTTTCATACAAAAATATTAAACATTAAATTAGCCAAAGAGAAATAACCAAAACTTGATAAAATGTCGCGTCCCAGGTTATTTTGCTTCACTGTATGTATTTATACATATGTATATATGTTACTTTTTGAAGTATGAACTACTCGACTCAAACTCAATATTGTACAGGGATGTGCCTAATATGCTCATCATGTTTTGAATTAGGAATTTTATTCGGCATTTTTTTATAAAAGTATGACTCATCTAACAAAATCGAAACTTTAAACTTTATGCAAAAAATAGAAACTTTTAACAAAGTTTCATCAAAAGTACAAATGTTTTAATTAGAATTTATAGAAAAAATAAATAGCCTAATTAATTTTATATACTAAAGTGCAAGTTTAATATTGCTAAAAGATCCTGTTGATTTTTGAAAAATTGTTTGCTGACGGTGTTACGCACTTTCTTCCATGTAAGAAAAACTTTCGTACATATTTTGTTTGGAAGAAAATGCGTAACATAGCTTATATTATATAAAAGTAATGTAAAACTGAAATTCTTACGTTTTTGAGGACTCCATTCGGCAGTTTCTTGCACTAAACAGCTGAGCTCTGTTTACATTACGATTTTCACCATAGTGTGGGGAAAAGCACAGGGTGTAAAAGCTTTTTAGTTTTATCAAGTTATGCACAGAATGCCGAAAAGATTTAAACTTGATAAAAATCGTGATTATTTGTCAGCTTTCTGTTAAATTGTCAAGTGCACAGAATTAGGCTGTAAAGCACAGTTGTGCTACCGCTATGATTAAGATTTTAGATGCCATTAGAATGCCATTTGATAATAGTGATTTAACTCTTCTCTGCCTGTTAGACTTTGCTAAGGTATTTGACTCGGTCGACCATACTTTGCTCTGCTGGAAACTTATGCATTTCTTTGCATTTTCTGGTAGTTCCATTCAACTTCTATGTAGCTACCTTGTGGGAAGAGTCCAGCAAGTTAAAGGTAGGGTATGCTAAATGGACGACACGCCATTTCTTTAAATGAAATTAACTGCTGCTATATGTACATACGTATGTACATATGTATGTTTATACAAAACGCAAGCAAACATTTTGCTTGCATAGTCTTCTGTTCTCTTTCATTGCAAGTTGAATTATTTTAATATCTAATGTAAAATTTTGTACATAAAATAAAATAACACTTTTTAACATACAACGCTTTTATATATGGACTAAAAATTAGAAAATAAAATAATGTAAAAAAAATATTTTTTAAAAACAAGCTTTTATTTAACATGTACAATCAAAGGAATAAAATAAAGTAGTGTAACAAAAGATTATTTAGCAAGAAAATTTTGTCAAAACTGCAGTAAAATGAATAAAATAAAATAAGTTAAGGTCTCGTTAAAGTTACTAAAAGCCATTTAGTGAAAGGAGTTATTCAAACTCTAATGAAAGTTACTAACAATTTGTACTAATTTCCTTCGTTTTTAAAAAAGCTTGTCGGCGAATTCAGCGTACATGGATTATTGGTGAGGTATGTATATGTATGTATGCAGATATTTAGATGCCGGTTTGGTATTCGCGCGACAAGCTTTTTTAAAAATGAAGTAAATTAGTACAAATAGTTAGTAATTTTCATTAGAGTTTGATTAACTCCTTTCACTAAATGGCTTTTAGTAACTTTAACGAGATCTTAACTTATTTTATTTTATTCATTTTACTGCAGTTTTGACAAAATTTTCTTGCATAATAATCTTTTGTTACACTACTTTATTTTATTCCTTTGATTGTAAATGTTAAATAAAAGCTTGTTTTTAAAAAATATTTTTTTTTACTTATTTTATTTTTAACAATATTTTGGTATATAAATAAAACATAGTTCATAAAAAATAAAAGTGTCATTCATTTTAAAACGAGTGTACACTTCATTGTACACAGAAGCCAATAATTTATTTTATATTTTTGACATTGTTGAATAGCAATAATGAGATCATTTCCATCTTCAGTCTTTAAATAGTCAAATAATTCTATACGTTTAATTTTAAAATTACTTTTAATTTGAAGCTCACTTTAAAAAATTTTAAGTAGAAGCCAGTTTCTCTCTTTGCGCCAGGAAGCAAACCTTATACTCCCAGATGCTTCGTTTGAGTGTGGTATTACAAAAAAAAATACTCGTTTCAAACTGTGGAAAAGTACCACTATTTAACGACTTCATCTATGTTTCCTCGTGGCTTAAATTAACTTCAACTACGCAAAAACTTTGAAGGACTAAGAATTCGCTGAAAAGAGTATCTAAGAGTAAGAGTAACTCTATGTCTTGTATGCAAAACTCTTTTACAAGGTCAGTAAATTGTGAAAAAAGAATTGTAAGTTATAGGCAAAAGCCATTCGAATATCCAAATTTGTTGTTATTAAACTGAAATTTATTTTCGAGATAACTACCAACTAGAGATGTTGCGAATGTGGAATTTTAGACATCCGCGGATGCGAATGCGGATGCGGATGTTTAAAAGCTAACATCCGCGGATGCGGATGCGAATGCGGATGTCAAGTATTTTTAAGAAATAAATTAGGTGATTTAGGTAAATAAAAAAGGGTAGTAATTTTTTTATAATGTTTTTTTTTAGTACATGAATTTAAAAATTGGAACATTGTACTTAATAAAAACTTTTTATTAAAAAGTAGGTATTGTTGTTGCCTTTTCTGGTTACAGCCTGTTTCTTAAAGGGTCGTGAATCAATGCTACGCCTCTAAATAACTACTCGCTCGAGGCGACAAACTTTAAACTTGACAAAATGGTAAATTCTTCTCGATTGACGCTGCACCAGTTGAGAGGACTTTCAGTTATATTTTTTTTTTTTTTTGTGGTGCAATAATTACTTTTTGAGAATTGCGTCGCGGCTGTAAATGTTGGATGTATACTCCTGACTAGAGATGGGCAAAAGTCGTGCTTTTTTACGTGACACGTTGTGTCACGCTTTTTCACGCGTGAGCGGCTTTCAGTGAAAAATCACATCCGTGATCGTGCGTGCCTGAAATTTTCGCGTGCGTGAGTGTGCGTGAGTTAAATTTTCGTCAATCACGTCATTTTCACATATGTATGTATGTACTTATTTGTAGTATTGTAATCTAAAATAAATTCGTAAGACACGGTGGAACTCGTTATTTATATTGCTATCAAGCATTCACGAAAGGCGACAAGAAGTTTAACAATTATTAATAGAAAGAAATGAGCTTCATAAACTATCTAAAATAAATGCAAATTTGTTGGAAAAGTTGTTAGAATTTCTGCGCGGATTTAAATCCAACCATCCATGAGCACGTTCTGTGGTACAAAAAACTACAAAAGCATTGTTGGGCGAATGCTTCTGATTCTGAAGTCATCATCGATTTGAAGAAAAACACAACTACTGCTTTAAATAAAAGATTCCAACCAAGTTCAATCCATTTTCTGGGATTGTTTTTAAATCCTCCGTTTAAAAAGTTACAGTTTATATCTGCAGAACAGCGCAAACGTATAATAGGGACAGTAAAAGCAATGCTTCAAGATAACTTAGGTAGACATGCAGACTAAGGTAGACATGCAGGTTGGCGAAAATCCTCCTAGATATATCCTCCAAGCGGGTGCCGACTGGGCAATGGGCATCGTTGCTTACACCGCTGTGGCAAGGTAGGCTTTTTCCTATGGCCGCAGTGGTGCAAGCAGGCGGGGCCTAGCCAAGGCCGAGGTATAAACTCCCCTGCCTCGTCTAGGTCTAGTGGTAGGCCGTACGGGCTCGCCCAAGGGGGGCTGGGGTGGGCATACTTAGGCTATTTCTAGGGGGTACCTGGCGGTTGGTATAAAACGCCCCCCAAATCCAGGGTGTCATGCGTCACCGTGCCCATTGGATGGTTTGCAGTCACGGGGTTTTCCGACTGTATTCTAACGGCGCCTCCCGGATACCTGTCCGCCTCCGGGAGTAACGGTGGACTTACCTCAGCATGGGGCTCTGCTGAGGCCGACCGTTTTTCCCCTTACCCATATATTCGGTCGCCGAACGGTTTCGGCTCAGTAGGCGACCAACGAACCAGCTGATAAATGAACTCGAAAAATGTA